ACACACACACACACACACACACACACAAACACACACATACACACACACACACACATACACACACACACACACACACACACACACACACACACACACACACAAATACACACATACACACACACACACACACATACACACACACACACACACACACACACACACACACACACATACATACATACATACATACATATGTCTGGTGGTTCTTCTGGTTGACAGGAGGTTTCTTGGCTTGGTGGTTTCCTTTCGGCTTTAATAATAATAAAAAATAATAAATAATAAATAATAAATAAATAGCATTTGTATAGCGCATATCCCCGCTCAACAGCAGGCTCTATGCGCTTTACACTATATTATTACCCCAGCAGACCATAGAACATTCCGAAACATTCTCAGCTTCCCGGGAAGCATACAGTGCAAGCAGCTGATTAAGCGCTCAAACACTAACAAACTGACAAGATCTTTCGCTGTCTATAGCCGGGTACCCATTCCCACCTGGGTGAAGTGAGGAAAATTCGTGTAAAGTGCCTTTCCCAAGGACACAACGTCGGGTCCCTGACGGGATTCGAACCCACGACCTTACGGTTGCGAGTCCGAGAGCCTAACCACTAGGCCACCGACGCCACTTTCACCACCTTGCGTCATTCTACACTCCATATTGTATCACCTGTACCACTACACATAATAAATTTACAAATGAGAATGAGTAAAGGCACGGTGGAACCAGGCACTCATCAATTTTTGGGCAGATATGGAGTTATTGGTGTCATCTTAACTTTTAAACAGTTCTTTCCTTTAGAATTTATGGAACATAAATGTTTTATGGTTATGGGAGACTATAAATCTCATGATCTATCTAATTTATCCATTTTGGTGCTTCTACTTACACAGATCTAGAGTTTGGACTTGATTCTGTTGAATTACCACCCCGAAAAAATGTGGATAATAATTTTGAAATATGTTTCCATACTTAAATGGGTTGTTGCATTTTGCTTAATTCATTCTCATCTGTTCGCCATATTGAATAAATTTTTTTTTCTACAAAAATCAAAACAAGGCTATATTTATAGACCCAGACAACAGATAAATCTATGCAGCTCGAATTGCGATGTCAGAGAGCCAAAGGTAGGCTCCTTTAGCAATATAAGTGAAATACTCCCATATTTCTATTAAAGAAGTACCAAACGTAGGTCAAAATACATGTGTATACAAATGAGTTGACTGAAATCTGTGATTTATTTGTCTAAAATTAATGACTACCCAATATGCATTGCTTTTAGGTACAACGTCTGAAGTCACACGAGCCTAGTTAACAATTATAACAATTTTTATGCAATGTGATTATTCGCTTGCATTTCAAATTTGAACCAGACTAGTGGCTGTCATCCCTACCAGTTGGCATAAAATTTATCTAATTTTTGGTACATTTTGTAGAATTGAATGTTCCTTTTAGAAACTATAAATGGAATCAATTTAGCTGAAAACAATTAACACTTTTTCCCCCCTCTTTCGCTATGAAAAGATGTGGGTGGGGGGGGGGGGGGGGGGAATCATTTTTGTTTTTTTGTTTTTAGATACATAGAAAAAGGGTCACATATAAAAAGCAAATGGGACATTATACACACATAATTATTTCATCACATCAAAGTCTACTCAATAACCTTTCCATTGACATGTAACACTTATACATGTACTATTGACATTCACAGGAATTTATAGGATATTTTATTCTGCTCACTCTCTTCACCTTAAAAATTAGCCAAAACCCAAAAACTGTTGAGAGTTAATATTGTTCCCTCGGTCAACAAAATTGGTCAATTCCAAAGCTTGCGTTTCCCTGGAAACTGCAAATTTACATTTTTTGTGTATGTATGTAGTATAGGGTTTTATGGCGCTCGCAACTGCTAAGGTCATATGAGCGCGCGAAACACAAGTTGTTCACCTTCGCAAAAGTTCACTCCACGACTGGTTAACTAATTGACTTTAAATTGCTAAAAAGTTAAAATATTTAAATTCAGTGTAAATATATTTGTGATTTAAAACAACTCTTTTAAGTAACAATAAAAAATTTTAAATAGTACGTTTTCATTTTACAACTTGCCATAAAGGCCAATGGCCTTCATAAAATTCAAAATTTTGCTGGGACCAACGACGTGAAAAATATCTTGTAATTTCTTGCATTTATAATATTTCCTTCAGATCTCTCCAAAGTCTAGACATTCTGTTAAGATGTGTCTAATGGTAAAATCTGTGTCGCATCCGACACAGAACGGCTTCTCATCTCCCTGTAGGAGGTATTTGTGGGTCAGGGCTGTGTGTCCGATGCG